CAGGCGATCCAAGTCACAAGGAGATTGAATCTGCAAAGAATATTTTTGAAAGCATTTTTGCTGGCACGGTTTTCATGGAATATTGGTTTTTCTTCTTGTTGTATTTCTATTAATCTTCTTCGAAACGGACCTAACGTGAATTCCATGTATACAACAAGGAAGTAATACCAGTCGAGAGATTAAGGTTACCCCGATCTTAAATTAGGAACTTTTAGCCCTTAGACTGTTAGTTATATGTAGCTGGCATTTGTTAACGGGTGTTTTATTAGTTGACCTTGGATACACATTGATAATTACTGTTTGTCAGTATATCAGCTAGGCATTCATTTGAATCAACTCTGTTATAATGTTATTTTAACAGCATGCCTATAAGTATGATTTTACGTTAAATTTAAAAGAAAATTCAAACTCAGTCTATTAGTACTACATCATGCATAAATACGGATGTTGCTTTTTTGTATTTAATTTTCCAACCATACAACAGCGACAGGACGTGTATCGATGTTCATGTCCGTTCGTCCCTGTGATATCACATATTCTGATTTTAGTGAAATTTTACACAAGCGTTCAGCACAACTATACTTCAAACGAGTTTGCGTTTTGCGTCCTTGCGAAAACATTAAGACCAATGTAAAGAAAATGCTAGTGATCGCTCTATCATTCTTATTGTGTTGACTATTCAGTACTTAAATGCCGAAGTATTTTGTTCTCGAATAATCTTCCGGTGTTTTGTCAGTGTTATTGTTAATAATACTAATTAATAAAACATTCTTGTGCCCTGCATAGGAAAGTGGTAAAACGTTCATGTTTAGTAACTAAGTTGATAAATATATGTGGATAACGCTGAACGACTTAAGATGAGTCTACTGGTATCAGTCAATGTACTCCTAGTAATACAACTGATATGCACTTATTCATGTGAGAGGCAAATGCAACATTGACATACGTCTTCAAAAGGTCTTTGAATTAAGTAAACATGTGTTTGATATCAGAAGTAAACTATTGTGTCATATGTAAACTATGGAGTCTCGTTATTTATATTTTTTCAAGTCACTATGTGGTTGATTGCAGGTTCAATATCAGTCCTTGAGGTTAGCCATACACAACCTACTGCAAGGTTTTATTCTGGCGCCGTGGACGTATTTAAATATAACATCTGTAACTGGGTATTGTATTTAAATATTATAAACGGTTTCTAGGCACTTATATTGCTATATATGTTCTTTAACTCTATTGACATGGATTATCATTCTTTGGCATTAGGTACCACTGTTGAGTTCAACATAAACGAAATGACCATATTGTGCAGTAAATGTTATAGTTTTGTATGACTCTTCTGAATCGACTAATAGATACTTCCATATTTCGCATTGTTAACACATGTAGCTGGTCTATGTGCGTTATTCTCCGACTACATTTGGAAGATAATGTTGATCTAATTACAGGTTATTGACCATTATGTTTATACCGACACCGTCTAGTTATGTTAAACTACCGCCCTAGTTATATTGTGCATAGATAATATAAACAAATGTACATGAAAAAGGTATTCTGTTGGAAAAACATATCAAGAGGCATCTCTTGAGAAAAAATTCCTCGATGACAAATTCAAAATGCAGTTTTACTTCTTATATATCTTAATAGTAATTGTTCGAGTAAAGAAATAATATTTGGATGATGGTGTAGATCTTAATATGATTTTCAAAAATCTAAGAGGCGTTGGTATGTATGTACAAATTACAATGTCTTACTTCTGGAATGATCCAGGAAGTAGGCATAAATAATAGCTAGCAATCTAATTTATGCTAATATTTCAAGTAATATAATTAAATTTGCAATACGTCTTTCAATAATTAAGCTATTTTTCGAGGAAACATTCTACGTGGCTTCCATGTAAAATAACAAAGAAAGTCATTACAGGCGGTGGAAATGTCCAGCCTTTCATTAAAGGAGAACCGAAAGCTCTGAACTGGTAAGGTGATTATGTGTATCTATTCACACCTATAGCAATGATAAACAGAAACGATTAAGTCAATTGTATTAATAGAATTCTATTAATTTGTGTTGATAAAATATATGTTTCCAGTCAGTGTGTTGTAACTTAAACGGCTCAAAAATATATAGGCTTTGAACTTTTTATATTTCCGATTCTGTCACATGTCAGTTATCAGTGCTATGTAATATTATAAGACTTTTTCATGGCCAGGGGAGTTCAATACTCTTTCATGCGAAAGGGTTAAGGATAGGGAAATTCCACCATCTGAATTTTCAAATTTGGCAAAACCTATCAAATAAACTCTCGGGTGGAATTTCCCTATCCTACACACCTTTGCATGAAAAAGTATATGTTTTTGGCTCTCATTCCAACTTCCAGAATAAAGTTTAGAAACCATGAAAATGCGTTTCGACTAGCTACCATTTTGGAAATATAAACTTTTCCCCTGAGCTGCTTTGACGAAAACGAATCCATCAGCGAAATTTAGCATACCCAAATTTTTGCAAATAGAGTTTGCGAAGAAAAAAAATCCCTTCTTTCTAACTAACGTGTACGATAAATATTTCGTAAAAGGTTTTAATTTCATCAGGTCGTCTTTTCCACATTGGAGGATTCCAAATTCGTGACGTCACGACATTGTTGAGACATTGTTACGTCATATCACGTGAAATGGGGTGTAAGCTAACTAAAATTAACCCCCTACCTTGAGGTTGTGACATAGTAATCTCCAACCCGAAGGATGATAAACCTTTGACGCTATGCTATATTTTTTTGTCTAGATATAAAATAGACTGAAGAGACGTAAATATGTTATCATGTCCGTCCGTCCGTCCGTCCTTGTGTACATCACGTGATATTCGAATCTTAATAAGTTTATGATTTAGAGACCTGGCGCAGAACTAAACGCGATTGTTTTAGGAATTGATAGATATGACTCTGTCATCCCATTTTCAAGCAGGTTGAGAAGTGAACGTGTTCGCATAGCAATATTGCAAGTCTCTGTTCAATGTCTCTGTTTCTTCTTATCGAAAAATCCAATTGTATGCTTGGAATAAGAAAAGATAGCGTGATATTCATGCTAACTAATATTGTTTATAGATTGATCTGAATTACGTTGTGTTAGTACGAGTCCTTGATACAGTGTCTACCAATGTGATAGAACAGTGGACACCAGGACTGAAGGAGCATGTATCGATTAAAGACTATCATAATGCATCATATGGTTATTGTGTCCATTAGTGGTGCTTAAGGCCAAAAGAATGAAAATAATGTCAGAAGTGTTTTGCAATATGTATATAAAAATTAAAAAATGTAGCCTTTATAACTTTACGAATTTTCAACTTTTAGCTATCATAAAACTTTATTTATAATGTAGTGTTTGATGTAAACCGTATAATAAATTTTACCTACACGAATTACGACAGGCCTCGGTATATTCATAACTTGTTTTATTGTTAAAACCTCTGTCATATGCATACATACTTACAGGTGATCAAAGTACACTGGCTCTATAAGATAACAAGTGTAGGGCTGTCATATACGATTTAAGTTCATTGTACATATCTGACAATATATATGCAGATACAAGTTCGTAGGTAAACATTAATTGGAAAGTATCCAAATAACCAAATGAAGGCCGATTGGGCAAAAACATCAAATGTTTTGAAACTTAATAAATATTGCGTAAGCTGTAAATATGCTTGTTATAAAAATATATCAGAAACTATTCAATTTATATTTAAGATCAATGTTTTAGGTCAAATACAAAGTGTAGCCACAAACAACAATGTTACAATGTAACGACAATAGCTCACGGATTACATTCGTGCCACCTTTAAACGGCATGGTGTGAATTATGATTATCTAACAAGGACGTTCTATACATAATCCACTATTTCTACAAATTAGAGACCATCTATGTTTTTGAACCGTTCTCAAAGATATCAACAAAGATATTTAATAGATTTAGTAAAGAGATATGAGTTATTCTATCCGCTATTTTAGGTTAGATCAGTGGTCCCTATAATAACAAGAAGGCAATCATAAACATAATAAGTATTATACAAAAACATGCTGTTGAAATGTATTATTTTTTTGCAATAGATTTTAAGAAATTCTTTTGCATATAACACTTGAAATTATCTGTTGGTACCATTTTTGCATCGTGTTCATAAAAAACGTCAGTTCCCTTCAAAGGTTGAATGAACTAGTTGTGTGTATTTCCAGGCTTACTTACAAGTGTACAATGTATATTTATATCAATTTGAAATTAATTTGAAATGCAACTCAGTCAGAATGCAGTTATAAATGCTACGTCATTCATAAAAAACCCATATGGCGGTCTGATAGGATGTCACAACTCGTTTTGCATTGTGTTCATTTCATATTTTGATTCTGAATGAAACTTTACACACGTGTTCAAAACTTTAGAACCTTAGTCGTTTCAGGGTCCTGTGTCAGAATTGAATATCAATATGTATGTTTACGATCATTGCTCTATCATTCTCATGTTCGAACTACATGTATTTGCGATGGAACTGCACTTAGTATCAAAATGGCGTAAATGCGTTAAGGTGTACGCATACAAATGTAATTTAACACCATTTTAAAACCATTGAGTTGACAACGTACCCAATGTTGAAGTGTGTTTTACATCAATAATTACGCAATCTGTCATGTGTATATAAATGTATATAGACAGGGGATCCGGGTCACAAGGAGATTGACTCTGTTAGTCGACAATAGCATTGATGAAAGCATTTTTGCTGGCACGGTTTACATGGAATATCGGTTTTGAAATAAAGTATATGCCGTAGATAAAACCTGTTACATATTAATATTTAAAGTGATGTATGCGACCCTTATTTGATTTGGTTGTATTTCTAAACATTAAGAAGCACTTTTAGTTTCAGTGAATAATAATCTTCTTCGAAACAGATCTGACGTGAATTCCATGTATTCAACAAGGAAGTAGTATCAGTCGAGATATTAATTCAGGTTAATTCGTTCTTAAAGCAGGTACTGGACGCCCTTAGCGGATTAGTTGGTGTAAATAAATAGAAATGGTAAATGTATACATTTGTAATTACGATATATGTTGCTGACATTTGTTAACGGGTGTTATATTAGTTGACCTTGGATAAACAGAGGTAATGTTTGTTTGTCAGTATATCAGCTAGGCATTAGTGATTATCCAATACACAATTCATTTGAATCAACTCTGTTAAAATGTCATTTTAATGGCATCAATATAATTATGATTTTTCGTTAAATTTAAATTTAAATTCAAACACAATTTAAAAGTACTACATCATACATAAAATTATTGTTTTACACTAAACAACATAAACCTATGACGCTATGCTATATTTACTTGTCTAGCTACATGTATATATTATACTGAAGAGACTTATATCCTTTGTACATCACATCATATTCTGATCTTGATCAGTTTTTGTTTTAGGGACCTGGCGCAGAAATGAATGTTTGTAGATAAACATTTAATTGGAAAGAATCTAAATAAAAAATGAAGACCGGTTGGGCAAAAGCAAATACTGTGTAAGTTGAATTGTTATATAAGAGAAAGTATAAAATGTATATTTAAGATCAATGTTTAGGTCAAAAACTGACAACAATGTTACAATGTAACGACCATAGCTTACGGATTATATTCGGCGTGATGTGAATTATAATTATCTAACAAGGACGTACCGATCAAAAGGATTTGAGAGGTATTCCTACGTTCTATACCTAATCCACTATTTTACAAAGTGGGCAATGATATGTTTCAGCCGTTCTCAAAGTATAGTTCCATTTCTGTTATCTATTCTACTACAAACCTGAATACACAATCATTTACATTTTTAATATTAACAAAGAAATTTCATTGATCAAGTAAAGAGATGTGTGTAATTCTAATCATCTATCTTAAAGTTGGATCAGTCGTCCCTATAAATGTGACAAAGGAAATAATTGAAATAATAATTATAACAAAAAACAAACAATTAAAATATAATATTTCTTAACAATAAGTTAAATTTGCCGTAAAATAAAAACAAAACCATAATTCGTCATTATCTACAGTGATTCCGTAGTCAGTTCTGGTCCTATTATCTGGTCCTTAGTTACGGTGTGGTTCATCATGATGTGATCTCTTGTTGTGATGCCATTGGTCTAGTGGTTTGACTCTACTGGTCTGAACTGGTATATTTGGCCGTTACCATTCATCTGGTTTCTTTCGTTCAATCGTATTAGTATGGTATTAACATGTACATTTGGTCTATTCGTTCCCTCCGTTTGTTCTTTAAAATTCCTTGGTCACTGGTACATGACGAGAAACGCCCATGACGTGAACGTACAAACTAAAACGTTAACTAAATTAATGATATGTTTGTACAAAGTAATCGTAAGCACATCCGATCTGTAATCAATACAAACCTACCGAAATATATATTTACAACGATCATATATGAATAATTAGTTTGTATTACAAAAAGGTAGATTTGTTACGTAACTATAGATTGATAATAACATCATTTACAGCAGACCAAAATCAATAAAAGTTAGTGAAAAGGTAGGTACGATTGTATATAACGTTAAAAGCATTGACGTTAACATTTAAAGTTGCTTAACTTAATACACTGAAGACTTACAGCTCTGCTATATTAGATAACCATCGACCTTTAATGTAGATATGCGCAGAGGTTAAAACCGAAAGGAGTACTTTTATTTAGCTGCACGTGATGTTTTGGAAACATACAAACTTATATTTATTTAAAGAATTATATTTAAAGTAACTATAATCTATGACAAATTCTGTAATATCATTTATATGTTTAGCACTATATATTACTTTTCAGTCCGTCATTTCTGTTGTTCGTACTTACTTGTCAGTAAGGCATGGCAATCGTTTGATTAACTACGTGTTGAAAACATGATTAAGGAATGGTAGCCAAGACGAGACCTCCCAATCTAGCAATCATCAAAAAAAGTATCTGTGTGTATAATTGGCTATGATGTGAACATTAAACATACACATACATGTCTATTTATTGAACCCGGAAGTTCTATTTTAAGTGCGTAATTTCTTGAAGTAGACTATGCACTGACAGTATTTGCAACTCTATAATGTAGTGAGTAAGCGGCTTCACAATGTCGGGTGTTGGAGGGTACCTTCCTATTCTAATCCTAGCAACGTTCCTCTGTCAAATACTAACAGTACAGGTACGTTAAGTTGTTTATTTATCATTATAATTCATAGGAAACACCAAATTGATCTATAGAGGAGTATGTTAAAGCAATTAAAGAACTATTTTATTTGAAGTGTTGTAAAATGCGTAAATTATATTAAGCGCTTTCCTCATCTAACTTTCCATTATTTATATCTCTATTCATGTATTATTTATTTCGATATTATTTATAGGTTTATTTATTTATTGTTATTATCATTATTATCATTATTATCAACTTCCGTTGATTGTTTATTGCCAGCAACGATGAGTGAACAGTTTAAGTATATACTATAAAACGATGCTTATGATAAGCTGATAAGCTAGATTATCATTAACGCGCACCACAGAATATGTTCGTTGCCAGCTGCGTTCATACTACCGTATACGCCGTCAAAATCAAGGTCAATCCTTGTGTATACATAGAGTAATCACATCGATAGACGGTTTGTTTACTAATAAAAACATAATAACTATAAGGGATAGATAAAAAGCTCTCAAAATTTGATTTCAAAGAAATATTTTGTGATGTTGGAATGTGTTTTTGTTAGCGGTTCCTTTCATTGTCTCTCCTTTTGTCTTGCTTGTATCATCTATGTGTCTTTACCTCATTTTATTTGTGTTCTTCTCAGCATATCTTATTCCAGATTAATTTAAATGAAATCATCCCCAAAGCGCTTAACACTCAATGGTTGACAGCCGTACATATTCCACTGTTTACGCGAACGAGAGCGACAAGCTATGGTTTGTGCCCCCACTGTAATGGTGTTGTTGTATCTATTTTCTATCGTTGTGGAGTTGTATCTGTAATGTTTTATCTTTGGGTTTTTTATATTGATATTTTGTTTATCTTGATTTTAATATGTTTGGCTAAAGGGAACAGTGGACGGAAGCTGCGATATTTCAGAACTCCCGTTTGATAAGCTTAAATGTCAGGACATTAAGAACGACCCCGTGAAGCCTGTTAACGGTGCAGTAAGTTCCGGTCACATCTGCGTATATAAATGTTCTCGAAACCAGCAACAAACATGGGCGCATTGCAACAATGGGCAATGGAATGGAGAACCGGAAAAATGTAAGTACGAAACGTCTCATTTAAATTTGTACATTGAATCTAGAATTGTGATATTCATCACGATATGAACATGCTATTTGTCTCATTAAGAAATTCAAGTCCTTTCAAATTTACTATTTAAAAGTTGCTCCCGAAAACGAATCCTGTTGAAAATGAGGTGATGTACAGTATCAATATTCAGACGTATACTCGGAAAAGTAGTTATCTGAATATTATATAAGAAAATGCCGAAGAGTAAACAAAATCGAATTACGAACTGGAATCGATAAACAATGTCAACATATATAGAAACTATAGATTTACACCGGCACTTTTGAAAAAGTAAAAGGGAAGGTACGCGTCTTCTGGCTCATTGCCATAACCTTCCATGTAAACATAGGTCAAACCCAAGTAATATCAGGTTTTCAAAGTGAGATCCGGTGTAGTGACAACGAAACAACAGGACAAACATATGAACATGATATACACAGTCTATATAAATATCGCTTACGTTTGGTTTTTCTGCGTTTTACGTCCTATCAACAGCTATGGCCATTTAAGGACGTGCCGGGTTTCGGTGGTGGGGGAAAGCTGGAGTTCCCGAAGAAAAACCACCGACCTTCGGCCAGTACCTGGCGACTACCCGACGTAGGCCTCGAACCCGCGACCCAGTGATAAAGGGCTAGTGGTAGGGGAATGTCAGACGCCTTAACCTCTTGGCCTATATTAATATCGCACAAAGGAATATAATACTTCCTAAAAAGATCATGATGGCTGGCGACCATAAAAAGTGTTCATAGTCTGATTAATCTGTATTGTTCCAACTCTTCATTTTAGAAGGCCAGAAAACGGCTCAGTTTGACGTATGTGTATGCCAATAGTCTGCTGGAAAAAACTATTCACCGAACTCATATAAACGTCAATATTTACACTGTTATTTTATTCTAAAACAGTCATAGTGTGTACTTAGCATATTGACAGCAGCTTCTTGTATTCATTCCAGAAAGTTTCTTCTTCAAAACTAATGTTTGTATTTTACTTGTAAATACCATACCTTAAAAGGGATAAATTGTCTGTGTCAACAGCTTTATGTGTGTGTGTTGTTTTAATAACCAAGAATTGTACTGTACATATTGTATTGTATAGTAATGATTCTGACATCAATAAAAGGGAAATAACTCTAAGATACTCTCGGCAAGGTGTATTGAGTACCACATATTAACACTCTCACCATAGTTAGATCGTATAAGTTGCTTTTTATATGTCATGTACCCGGTTCATTGCTCGTTATAAGCTATAAATAACAATGAATGACGTCACATGAATGAACGGAACGCGTAAATGTATTCAATGTTTAAAGGTCTGGCACATTTAGTTAAAGAACGCTTAGCTTAACGATACTGATTTAAAATTAAACATTATGTATCTTAAACGGTTTAAAGAAAATGTCTAATACAGTGAGATAATAAGACGTGTATGTAGATTTATCACTTGGGTGATGTTAATGAGTGGAACACGGTCGATGTTTAGAGCGGCTTCCTGCTGGCATGTAGTCTCAATGTAAGACTATGCGACTTCCTGCTGGCATGTAGTCTCAATGTAAGACTATGCGTCTTCCTGCTGGCATGTAGTCTCAATGTTAGACAATGCGGCTTCCTGCTGGCATGTAGTCTGAATGTAAGACAATGCGGCTTCCTGCTGGCATGTAGTCTCAATGTAAGACTATGCTACTTCCTGCTGGCATGTAGTCTCAATGTTAGAATATGCGACTTCCTACTGGCATGTAGTCTCAATGTTAGACTACGCGACTTCCTACTGGCATGGAGTCTCAATGTAAGTCTATGCGACTTCCTGCTGGCATGTAGTCTCAATGTAAGACAATGCGGCTTCCTGCTGGCATGTAGTCTCAATGTAAAACTATGCGACTTCCTGCTGGCATGTAGTCTCAATGCAAGACTATGCGACTTCCTGCTGGCATGTAGTCTCAATGTAAGACTATGCGACTTCCTGCTGGCATGAAGTCTCAATGTAAGACTATGCGACTTCCTGCTGGCATGTAGTCTCACTGTAAGACTATGCGACTTCCTGCTGGCATGAAGTCTCAATGTAAGACTATGCGACTTCATCCCTTCCCTTTAAATAGCATTATATTTATGTAGAACGTATTAAATAGATATAATATCCGCCTCCTAAATTAAAAATAAACAACTGACGTCATACTCGTGTGGACACCTCCACAAACTTAATTACAAAAATACACACATCACATCAGAAGGGTAAATACGCCAACTACATGTACGTTCAAACTTATGTGAGCTTTAAATTAAGCTCATTGACCTTGTGTTTTGTAAATGGGTTCATATAACCTTTTTTATCATTAACAAATCTTCTTTTAAAAGGCATCCTATACTAAACAGTGCCCAATCATATACACGTATTTTCGTTTTAGTTACTTTTTGCAGTTAGCCCATTTAAAAAACATGCTTTTGTTGATAAAATTACCTTGTATTTTATTCTAAAATTGAAAATATTAGTTTGAAATTAGACAGCAATAGACATACGTTAAAGATTTATCTCCTTTTGTTAAACTGTTGTAAATTATATGGTAGTGTTTGATTAATTTTTTCTCTTAATCGCAAAAGTTTGATGGATAACACAAACTAACAAATCAAAACACAATATTATTTACCTACAGTGTTAAACCTCATACACTGGCAATCTTTTCACAACAGCATAATTTATGTATCACACTTCTTTATCTGTTTACCTGACTAGGCCTAGAAAACCCGTCATCAATCATTCATCATCGACCGAGGAGGTGGGGTCGCTTCTTTAGACGAGTCTTCAGAGCCATCAAATGTGTATTTGCACGGTGTAGTAAAGGACCTCGAGGTACGTATAGTAACTTTATAACTCTGTTTTTGAACGAATTTTACAGATCAAAATGATCATATAAAGGCGTTTGCGATTTATAACATTTAACTTTTGCAAATCATGAGGATATACACAGATTTACACTGCGATCACAGTTTATATTCTATACCAACACTCCCTGTTGTAGCTGGATGTTAGTTGTCATTTTGTAATATAACTTAATTCAAACGTCACAATTTTCTAATTGTTTGTTTCCCTAAAAAAAAAATATTGCTGTAATAAATTGGTTTTTGATTGAATTGATAAGGTAAAATGGAAAAAATACAAATGTAGTGTACAACTCGTTGTTAAAATAGATATAAAACCTCAACGATATAACAGTTTGTTTTATTAGATTAGTTTGATCACGTTTCGCCCTTACGCATTCGCAATTCCCAGGTCATGTTTTGCCTTTCTGAACCTCTCCAGAAGAAATGGACGAGAAACACCAAAGCTGATTTCTAGTGACTAAAGAATAATAATGGCGGGCAAACCAGATCTTTTTTACGTTTTTGTTTTTGTTTTATTTCGGTTTAATGACATATTTATTGTCCTTGTGAAGCATGGTTAATGTTGGGGAAACAAACTTCGTGATTCCCGTCAACAAGAGCGATAAATATTAAATATCATACAGTGTTATATTTGGATGATTGACTATATACACTCAGGAGACAGTACCCCTCCCAAGTTAACCTGTCCACCAGACCAAAACAGAAACGGTGATCCTTTCCAAACTCACGCAAAGGCTACTTGGGTCACGCCTACCGCATTGGACAGTCGTGATGGTACCGTTACGTAAGTGTAACACATTTTTAAGATGGTATCTTTTCAAATTTAAATCGTCCAAGAAAAAGATAAAGAACGACTTCCTCGAGATTATAATTTTTAACGCCTTTTTGTTTTACGATGATATTACATCTGGTCACTTCACTTATAACCAATTAATATAAGTACATAGCAAGATATGTTTTTGTTTTGTTTTTGTTACAGATTTCTTCATAAGAATTGTTTTACTTATCATGAACATGATTTGAAAGATGCAGCCACTACGGTAATAAACCGTAAACGTAAATAAATTAATATTCTGCGTGATTACATCAAAGATTATCAATAAGGGTTGGATTATTATTTTTCTTTGGTTAGAATATTCTGACTGATATACATGTATGTGTTAACAATCAAACACTTCTCATTATAAAACTGCAGTGTCTACCAGTCGACATCCAGAAGATCTGGATTTCCTATATCAGAACCCGGAGCGTCTATTGGTTTCTACGCAAAGGACAAAAGTGGCAACATGGCTAAATGCAGTTTCCGTATAAATGTCAAAGGTACATATTTACTTTCATTAAGAAAATATGCATGTAAAAGTTAGAAATTGTGCAAAACATTACAATAATAATTATTCATTTTCGAAATATAAGTTAGATAAGAATAGAATATTGAATAAAACACTAAGTGATGTCTTCACACTAGGCTTTTACTCTACATAGCTAATGTTGTGTTTTGTGTAAAGTTGAAGTATAAAATCATTAAAACTGTATGATTTATGATGATTGTAATATTTCTAGCGTTAGTATTAAAGTTTACGAGCAAGTCTGGTTTTATATATTAATAGAGAGACAACATGTATACAATATATATCAGACTACATGACATTGTAAACTTGTCATACATGTATTAATAATAATAATAATAATAATAGACTTTATTTAAATTCGATAACACATTGAGTCAATGACTCGTCTCACATGTGGTCGACATAAAATGTACAATATTTACAACATGGATATGACATACACGTACATACATAAGAAATTAAGTAACATATCACAGGTAATAAAACATTGTATTATCTTTAAAACAAAAAAAAAACAAAAAAAAAACAAAAAAACAACAACAAAAAAACCAACAACAACACACTCTTGCATCCTGTATCCAATAACAAAACTACGTAATACATATCACACATTGAGTCAATGACTCGTCTCACATGTGGTCGACATAAAATGTACAATATTTACAACATGGATATGACATACACGTACATACATAAGAAATTAAGTAACATATCACAGGTAATAAAACATTGTATTATCTTTAAAACAAAAAACAAAAAAAAAAAACACACTCCTGCATCGTGTATCCAATAACAAAACTACGTAATACATATCACAGATATATTGGTATGTGATATCACACAGGCTTACAATAAAATATGTCACACGTGTATTGGAAAATAAAAAGTTGGCTAAATATCATGCAATGCATAAATTCTCATGCTGCATTTTAGAAGATTTAAGAAACGCATAATGCGTCTAACATACATTCATGTCATTGTGACAAAGGGTAAAAAATTACAGAATATACGCTTATGTAGCGTGAGTTAATACCAAAGTGTTGATTAGGGCATTATGAATAGTAATTAAGATTAAATTCTAAAACTTCATTTAGATACACGTTTGTCATATTCCAGGTACTACAGCAGATAGATATTTCAGGAGGGAAAGGGGGTGCAGATTTTTAATTTTCTTTACACTTGTCTTTATAGATTACATTGAGATGTTTTTTACACTCGAACTTAAAACTGTTCAGTGATTGGCATTTAGAGACAGTGGTTGGCAAATTGTTCCAAAGTGTCGGTCTATTATATTTAAAAGAGCTTTTGAAATTTTCCGTTTTGTGTTTGGGTACAACATATCTACCTGCCGCAGCTGACCTGGTTTGAATAGTATGGACATTGCTCACAAGAGTATTGCAGTCTAGGTAATTTGGACATAGCTTGTTTATTACTTTAAACATCAGAACACATTCGTTATATTCAACTCTGTACGTAAAAGGCAGCCATTTTAGTTTTACAAACAGCTGTGCACCGGGAACAGTATAGTCGGCATCTAGTATAATCCGCAGTGCTCGTTTTTGAATTCTTTCAAGTTTGTGTACCAGTTTTTGAGAGCAATGTCCCCAAACGTTCGAGCAAAAGTCAATATATGGTAGTATAAAACAGTTGTGGAAAGTGATTCTTGCCGATACTGGTAAGAATTTCTTTATTCTACATAGTTGATAAATTTTATAATTAAGTTTCTTTAGGACGTCTTGTACATGTTTTTCCCAAGTTAGGGTGTCATCAATACGAACGCCTAACAGTTTTTCATTTTGTACAACTTCCAAGTTTGAATTTTCAGCTATAATATTTAGATTTTTCTTTAGTCTCTGTTTTTTTTGCTTACTTCCAATTAACATTACTTTGGTTTTATCAGTATTTATGACCATTTTGTTGACATCACACCATTTCTTTACATGATTAAAATCCGTTTGTAGACATGATTCGATAACATCCAAATTTGTGTCTGCTTTTTGCATTGAAGTATCATCTGCATACATAAAAAGTTCACAATGTTTTGAGCAGAGTGGCAGATCATTGACATATAATAAAAACATCAAAGGCCCAATTATGGAACCTTGAGGTACACCAGTTGTAATTTCACAGGCATCACTTAAAGAACTTTTGAAAGATACTTTCTGAAATCTGTTTGAAAGGTATGAGGTAAAAAACATAATGGAATTTTCAGAGCATCCATATATACTCATTTTCTGGAGTAGTATCTTATGGTCAACAAGGTCAAAAGCCTTACGAAAATCCATATACATTACACCGATGAGGTTTCCCTTGTCCAATTCATCATACCATCTATTTGTAAGTGCAGTAAGAGCAGTTTGACATGAATGCATATTTCGAAATCCTGATTGATTCTCAATGATTGGATTATGTTGGTTTAAAAACTTATAAAAGGTAGTCTGCACATGTTAAAATGTGTTGCACACTTTTATAGGGTTATTGAAGTAATAAATATTATTAACATCATACATCATAAAGTTTTAAAGATTTAATATCAAACTTGACACAAAACACTACATTAGCAGTGTAGAGTAAACGTTTTTGTGCACGTGTTGACAGTTATACGGTGCCCACGGCTGCAAAGGATGACTGACGGCTACGCGATTTGTCACAGAAGTGATGACATGGTACTCAGTTCCTACTGCAGATTCGGATGTTACGAGGGACATGAGCTAATCGGACCGAGCTATGCCCAATGCAAGTTGACAGGGCGATGGTCGTCATGGACACTTCAACAACCCAGCTGTCGAAGTGAGATAATCTGTAGATTATTCTCTAGAAATTTCAGGAGTTCTTTGAATTTCATTTATTCTACACATCATCGGGGCGTTATATATGCTAAAGATCAATGGCAGTAATGGATGTTGCACACTTTTATAGGGTTATATAATCATTGCACAAATCAAGATAACGTTAACGTTAGCAAATGTCTGTACATCACTTGCCGGTATTTAGTAAATTCATATAACTCTATTATCATATTAAACTGAACATATGTTATTTGCTGATCGAAGAACAGAAGTTTTTATTGAATATATAAAACTGTTCTATGTTACATTTTAGAACATTCCTGTGATCCACTTTTACCTTCTTCGCCATTGTTGAGCATCACACGCACAAACGGGGATTTGTTCCGGTCTATTGCCACGTTCTCGTGTGTGTCCGGATATGACGTACCAACGGGTGTCAGGCGTGCGGCGGTGTGTGGAGTTGACAAAACATGGAGTTCTACTGTTCCAAACTGCGTTGGTTAGTATTGGGTCGTAGACGTTTTGCAGTTAACAATTGCATCAAAATTTTGTGTTCAGGGTAGGGTGTTAATCGGTTGATTGAATTGGTTTTAATATATCATTTCATCTATATGTACAGTTTCCCACTATTTTTGTACCTTAAACAGGCTATATTTTCCAGAAAATCTATTGACCAAACAAATATCATGACTGGCAACGCAACTTATAAGCTCTCTGCTTATATTGTGTTTTTAGGGACACTCTGCGTTTACAATATAAAGACATGAACATGATGTTAATCTAATATATATAATGTCAAATTGCTTAGTATCAGTTATTGTCCATATATACATCTGACATTTTGTTTTATAAATGTAGACATTGAACCACCCAGCTTTAAACCGTTTCCGTCTTCAAAGACGTTCTATATTGCACGAAACGACAACACTGTGGCAGTATACTGGCAGGGACCGGAAGTAGAGGATAACTCTGGGGACACTTTAGCAGCAGAACAGAAGAATACTTGGCCTAACCAAGGCGACGCCCTCGCAGTTGGAACATACACTGTAACATATACAGCAACGGACAGTGAAGGCAATATAGCCAGGCCTCTCAATTTCAAAATCACCGTCAAAGGTAATGTATATATTGAAAATATAGACATAGAGTTGCCATTTGTTAAACGAACCGTTTTACGGTTTGTTCTTGATGTGATAGGACTCATTTTACCGATGTTGTAGCGTAGAAATTATTTCAAAATATGCCAGGGTAACATTTGTATTAGAAGTTTTGTATGAAATAGCAATGATTATTGTGGTGTTATGATTTACATTATAATTACATTGTAATTTGATTTTTGACAGAAATCAGGTGTTTCCATGTGTATCCAACTCCATATACATCTGTTATCTGTACGGGGAATCGCTTGGGATCTACGTGTAGATTTAACTGTTCAGATGGGGCCAAACTTAACGCTTCTTCGAGTGTGACCAGTTGTGATAGAGAGGGTAGTCCTCCGTACGGAGTTTGGGACTGGGGAACACAGCAACCATTCTGTGAATGTAAGTACACTTATTTCGTATATAAATTATGTAGTACTCAGTACAGACGCACTATATCATGTAAGTAAATTTAGAAAGCGATCTGTTCTTTAAAGCAACTATACTTGTATTCGAAAACAATCATGATAATAATATTCCGTGTGAAAACATTAGTTAAAACTTTTCATTGTTTCTGTATTGTTTATATTTGTTTTAACTACTGTTTACTTTTGATGAACCTCTTTTAGAATAATAAAATAACAAGAATAGCACAGGAAATAGTAAACTAGTGAATGTAGTTCTCCTGATTGATGTAAATTATAGTAAGCACAAACATTCAGACGTATATCTTAATATCACAAACACTTGAGTCAGGATCAAACTAAACTGAACTATTAGCATGTTAACTATTCGTGGATCTGATTTTGGTTCGACGTGAGGATATTGTAAATCATAATGTGGCAATATATTCATATATCTCAATTTAAAATATCGATCTTTTATAAAAACAAAAATTTAAACATTCATTACAACGAAGTTTAGAATGAAAGAAAAGTCTAGCTAACACTATCTCATGTGTAACCTTTTTATCACGTAGCTAGTTCCTACACAAACCTTATATATATGACATGCTTGCTTTATATTTAGTACCAAAGAATTGCCAGCTTCCTTCAGCGCCTGACAATGGCGCACTGGCATGCGACTACTGGTTAGGTGGGCGCTTCTGTCAGCCGCAGTGTCAGGTGGGATACGATATTTCCGCTAGAAGTACTTACACTGACCTTCTCATCTGTAATGATGACGGAAGTCATAACTGGCAGCTACCTCTCCCCAACTGTATGCGTGAGTATTTCAAATGTTTATAGCTTACTCACAACGTTGCATTGTTACATACGGCCATTTAAAAGACCAATCAGGCTATCAAAGGTAGACATAAAAAATTATACCATTATAAGTTATATATCTTTTCGTAATAATGAATTGGTACAATGTTAAAATATGTTCTTCTGACAGAAGTTGTATAAAACATCGGTTCTAAACTTAACTTCTATACACGATGGTTTAGTTTCAACAGCACTTTAGATTTTGAATTTTCATCTTTTTGACCTCATAGAAGCACATATGTATGAGTCATTGGACGAAAGGATGACCAGTTGTATGGTGTAGTGTTTTTCATTTTCACAATGCTGTTTCTATTACCAATGTGTGTATCTACGTTCATCTTCAATAAAATATCTATACTTTCACAAATCTAAACAGATGTGTGTATTTGCACAAATATCTTACAAGGAGTGTATTCTGCATCGCAAATATTTTCAGTATTAAAAATGTGTTGAGTACCAGAAACGCGTTAGGAAAATTGTTATTTCATATGACATGTGCCATGACATTTTTTGTTTTATAGCGTCATCCTCATCTGGCGGAACAAGAAGAACTGTTGAAGTAGTTTTCTTCACAGGGAGCTGTAGTGACGAGACCACACAAATAGAAATAAAACAAAACTTTATAAAGAAGCTGGTGTCCACTTCTTTCAGTCATGGTTGCGGCAGTTCTCCCAAGTGTAGTTGGAGAAACGTACAGGTAGGTTAAATGATGTGTGGCTTGATCATGGAGCTAATGGGAAAGTTAAATGAAAAGTTGCTAGATCAATCATTGTAATGGAATGCTACACAAAAACCATCCAGACAAAAAACATCTGATACGGGGCAAACATAAGTAAAAGCATTTTCTCTTAAGATATACAGTATCTACAAGTGTAGAGTGTTGTTTCTTGAAGATAAGTTGTACCTTTTTGTAAGTACACATTACCAGAAGTTTTCTTAGAAAATCTGCAGTGTTAAGCTGGAACGGTTGATAGGTAAGGTCTAATATGTCCACCTAAGCTCTTTATAGTTCTGGGATAAGTTTACATTCAGGTAAGAAATTGCGTATATAGGTTTGTATATTTAGACCAATTCACATGCTTTTTTATTTGCTTTATTCTTTTCGCAGCTAATATCAAGCCATTGAATTTTAAGGCAATTCAATGCATCAAAATTACTCATGACGTACCTACAATACACATGTATAGCACCGACGTTAGTTCAGCGTTTAACTACTGACGGGAACATTTAAATATGCAAGAGTTCAAACGAAAGTATCGATTGAATATCTTGACTAATAAATTTAGCAAGCTTGGAATATGTTAAGTATACTATATTACAGGTAATATGCGGCAATACAAATGGAAAGCGATCGACAGGCATTACAATCTCTTTTGAGATCGCGATGAACTCAACAGCTATGAACGAAGAGGAGTACTACAATCAATACATGGAATACGCGTCGCTTATTGAGACGTTGAAGGTAGATGTGACTTCAGGAACACTCACCTTACAGATGAATGATAATACAACTATGAAGGCTGCTGAAATGTTGATGGGAGATATCGGACTCCAATGTGTAGAAAACACTGTCGCCTCTACGAAAACGTTTTCATGTGGTAATTAATACAAACGAGCATGTCAGACTAAAAATTCTTTGATTTTAAAACCAGAACGAAATTAAGCCAATTTAAACTATTTAACATAAAACAACCCAAATGACAATCATCAGCGCAAGAGGACCTAATGAAAATTAAAAATTATAGAAAAAACAAAAACAAGACCTGATAAGAGCATCCCAATCCTACTCAACTCCATGGAAGAGAGCGAGTGTGTCTTATGCTATTTATTGTGCTGTATGAGGAGGTTCTGTTAAATAGCAGTTTTCTCTTTCAGTGGAGTGTCAGAGTGGGAGCTACTATGATGCCACCACCGAAGAGTGTGTTTTATGTCCAGTCGGTCAGTACCAGACAGAGCCCCGGAAAAGTACATGCATCCAGTGTCCATACGGCACGTCTACAGCTACGACAGGCTCCTCAAATCAGACCCAATGTCAAGGTAACTGTGAACAATAATCAATTGGAGTTTGATTAATTATTGTCTTAATTACTGAGTCCGACAATTTCGAGACAAATTGTAAATGCTACTCATTCCTTACAAATCCTAATGCTATTATCTATATGATGTTTTTCAAGCGTCTTGTCCTCCTGGTTCATGGTCTCCCTCCTCCTTACCTCCGTGCACCCCTTGTGACGTAGGGTATTATCAGAGTGAGTTCGGGGCCACAGGCTGCATCGCCTGTCCAGGGAACAAAATCACCAAGATCGATAACTCTTCATTAGAAATGGAATGCGTCGGTGAGCCTATTGATTTTCTGATATGATAAATAACAATGCAATTGCCAAATGACCTCCAGGTCTATTAAACAGTTTAAAATCATTGGGAATATTGATAACTGTGGTAACATATCCTGCTGAGTACAAAACGACTACTATTTAGTATGTATTGAATATAAGATTTTAAAAATCGTTTAATAATAAACACATGATGAACATGTAATCATGTGTCTGATAATTCAATTAACATAGTCCTACATATTGTAGGGACGTGTTGTTTGTTCGAAAGTTTAAAAATTATAAAAATGTGATATAAAACACTGTCCGTTCTGTTACGTATTTCCAGATTTCGATGTGTATTTCCCCGACAACCAGACCGCCGGCGTCCTACTCAGTAACAAAGAGGCTGTCCCTGTGATAGGATACACTGCAGTTTGGTGGCAGCAATGCAGTAGCGATTGCACAGGAGAGGTTTTTGTACTAAAAAATGAGACAGGGGCAAAATCCTTATCGATGACATTTGCATCGACAATGACAATCAGCGTTGAAGGGTAAATACTATTTACTTACTAACAGCACGCCATTTATGTAACCTGTTTCTTAGTTGTAACCTATTTGTGATTAGTATAATAATATATACTGCCATGAGTGTAAATGTCCACACTCTTTTAAAATTAGTATGATAACACCTGAATAAAATAGGCTTAATAAGCAACATATATTCTATTGGGCGAATTGTTAGACTTTAGTCTCTCGTATTCGCCCTTGACAGCTGCAAACAAATATGATAAACATCATCCTAATAATTTTGCCAAGATGAATTTAACTGATTGATAAGATTTTAATTGAATTTAATTCTTTGATTGATAAATCGTTCAATTCATCTTGATATCATATTTGTGACATCATGTATTAACTAGTGAACTGTCATTCTCAGCCATGGCTTCGAAAATTTTCATATTCGTTGGAAAGTGTTCCACAATATTAGTAAGATCTGAATGATAAATTGATAGTGTGATCTACGATATGCCAGATTGACATCGGCGTAGCCGGGCTATACCAATGAGCACCTTACGTTGATTATGATATCAGTATGACAATGCTATCATATTTTTACTAAAGACAGACAATTAGCAGTGGATTGGCTCCTCCTGACGATCGAGGATGGCATGTGTTCACGTTAAAAAGAAAACACACCTTCTTAGAATGTTTCATGGATATGTCCCTACTAGTTAACATGACCGGACTTGCGGAACAGACCGTCATTGGTGGTGTGACTCAACTAGGAGGTAAGAAATAATCGTTACACGTACTGAGAGGCCTATTTTACACCGAGCAAACAATTTTGTCATTTATGCTGTTATTTACTGTATAATTTAATAAAAAGAGAAAAACAATATTTGTAATAAATAAATGGAAATATCACATCACAAGAGAAAAATCATTAACATCGAATTCATATACACAAGAATGTTTTTGGGTTCCTCATGGCGCAAATATAACTTGTCCACAGCCCTCATACATTGGCATCTCTGTTTCTTTATTTGCAAGATTGGCTATCAGTTTCTAAATTTCTCTCACGGAAATCGAGATATACGAAGCAAGTCCTGAAATACCGAATCACGTAAACATATATGTAAAAGGAAGCAATTCTGTTACTCTTATGAAAGCGAAGATCACATTAAGAAATATGGAATAGTCGTCAAATCGATATCTACTATAGTGGTTTAACATGTTGGGAATCATTATATTATACATTCAAGAGATGTTAACGTTGATAAAGATGTCGGAGATATTTTAGTTCTGATACTAATTTCGTCTTTAGGAATTTCTTTCGAAGGAACTATATCACAGTTCAACATTTTCACCGAATCGATTCCATTAGCAACCGACAAATGTTCGAACGACATGTCTGGCGATGTGATTAGCTGGAGAAGCATCCTCAATGCCACAATGAATGACGCCTTCATACAAATCCCTAGTGTGTGTGACGGTATGTATGCTAAACATATCAAATGATTTCAAACATTAACTGATTTTATTTTTTCGTAAAAGCTTTACACATATTTTTGCTCTTTCTATAATGATCTGGTGCCTAGGAGACATATGATATCCAATGGTCTCGGTGTTTATAGAGCCCCACAAAAATATAACCGCTATTAATAGGAATAGAATCAATATCAACCTCTATTAATCACTCTTCTTGGACCGGATGGCAGAGCGCAGGAGGACTTGATATGAGAGCATATCAGAGTCAATGAAAAAAAACCAAGAGGTTGGGCAAGTGACCCCATTATTTTTCTGTTCAGGGAATTAAACCCCAGCCGTCTCTTTGGAAGGCGAGTGATCTATCCACTGCGCCACCCCACCCCCACTTATAATAGGATAGCATCTGCGAAATATGCATATATAAATACCTATATTAATCATATCATTTTTATTCAAAACAGATGTAAATGAATGTGATTCTAGTCCATGTTTCCGTGGTAACTGCACTGACGACTACAATAGCTACCAATGTAAATGTGAGGTTGGTTTTACCGGAAATGACTGTGATGTTGATTTAGACGACTGTGAGATGAATTCCTGTCAAAACAACGCCACCTGTCAGGACAGTGTTAATAATTACACATGCCAATGCTTGCCGAATTTCACAGGAGCACTCTGTGAAATTGCTATGGGTAAGTTGGCCCGCATAAACCATATATTATGACCATAAGTTTGCGATAGGATCAGAATAGTAGTGTCACAGTCTGAAGAATATGTCGCAAAGTACCAAGTTTCTTCATACCAGAATCAAATAAAGAAAAATAAATTTGCAAATAAACTCGATTCGTATTTACTTGAAGCAGTTAGACAATTACTATTGCAATACCATGTTTGTATTACATTGCAGTTGACGGCGACTGGAACGAGTACAGCAACTGGACAGAATGCAGCGTGACCTGCGGTAATGGGACACAGATACGTTTTCGAGCTTGTGACAATCCCGCCCCGGACAATGGCGGAGCTGAGTGCTTTGGTGATAGTAACGAGACGAAAGTGTGTGAACAGGAAAGCTGCCCAGGTAACTGACAATGAGCTGTTAAATTCTATAGAAAGCAATGAGGAAAGCATGATATTTATAAGGGTATAAATCTGTATTCATTTTCTTATTGTAAAATCAAATAAACAAAGTTGAGGCTACAAATGCTTTTTGTATACGTCATTCATATTTTAATATTTTCATGTTGGCTTTTCAACTCTTAAACATACGTTTAAAATAACTGAAGTACGTTTGATCGTTTTGTTTACTCTCAGTGTGTGGAGAGCTAGTTCCACCAATTAATGGCTCCCTGAAATGCATCAATGATGGCGTGGATAACGTGTGTGAACTGGAATGTGACGTCGGATATGTGACGGACATCCCAATTCCTGATAACTACTCATGCGGCAACTCTACCTTTGATCAATGGGATTTTAAACTTGAAACCAACGTCTTCTCGAGACTTCCGTCCTGTGTAGGTTAGTATTTTCCGTCTTATTTCTTCAACAACAGCAATAAGCGGGAGAGCAAAATTATAAAGTGTGCATGATCAGCGAAATTTTAAATATTACATACTATTTTCAATAAAAATATCAAAAATAAAATTTAAAAAATCATTCATTATATGTAAAAATATTCGCTAGCTTAGTGTTAGGTCTCCTTAGACGAGTTTATGTATGAAACAAACAGTTGATTTCGCATTTAGAATTCGATATACTAGATACAGTATCGTCATTTTAGGACGGTGTAATCGAAAATTGGTCTAAAACCGCCGAAAAACAATCGAGAGAATACCGACGTGTCAACATTACCATAATACGAACTCAAATCGTTAAAACTAGGGCAAGATATGAACAAAGGAAAGATTTACAATGAAATCATTGGAAAAGTATAAGGAGAAAAGACCGGTTGTTCCAGAAGCGTAAATGTCTTCTGCTTCTTTGCTGATTGCCGCTGCGTAAATCGAAGTCATCTCAAAGTAATGTCGCGTCCTTAAATCGAGAACTGGGTAATTGCCAATAAAACAAAATACATGGATTTAAAGAATTTGAGAACCACTCGGTTGTCTTAGATCCTTTGCGTAACATTGAGGTTATAACGAATGGAGTTTAGATATATTAGATCACAGATTGAAAATGTATTTATTTTTCTACTTATCTTTTCAAGAAACCATTGACCCTGATGACATGAGGGCAACTCGAACGTCTTACTATCACGGTTTAGACTGTAATACCCTCAGCACGAACACTGACACTCGGATAGCTGTGATTGGAAAACTTGGGGCTGTAGTTGAATCACTGACGGGTGTCAAGAATAATGACTGCAAGGAAGATCAGAAGTACATCAATACGTGTGAGAACAGACGAAGACGAGATACTTCTTCTGAATCTGCTGCGTACACCATCGTACTCCACTGCGACTCGAAATCAAGTACAATACCATGTTATTATACGTCTCCGTAATGCATATTCATTTACGTTAGTACAATATCCATATTCATAACATGCTAACCGTATTTTATTATGTCATAATTTTAAACAATTAGATAACCTAGCTTTGAGACAAGTACATTTGGTGAATCTATAAAATGTGTCAGTGTACATGTGAACTTATTCTTAAATCAATAACATGTCTTAGGTATAATGCTGGTCGTGCTGTGGTTCTCTAAAGAATTCTGCTGACTAATCTGTAAATGCAAGTTTCTGAATTCATTTAATTAAATTTTACTTAATTCTTATTCCAGAAGGAGCGTCTGAATGCTATGAAATTTTGACGCAAGCGGTAATCGGTTTGGAAAGTTTAGAGGAGCAAGGCGAAATGAATGTCGTTATAAATGGTATTGAATACACTATCAACGTTAGTCTGTCAGAAGCCGATACAAGTCTAAATTGCCCAACTGGAATGGTAGAAGTGCTTTCCTACTGTGGTAAGTAACACTAAATGGCATTCTTATAGAAATTCTGAGAGTCAATTTCAACAGAGCTAGATTGAGATTCGAACCTTGGACCTCTGATCACAATAAGGTCGCTTTTACTAAATGAGCTTCCGTAACGTGATATATGCGTTGTCCATCCTCGCTACGCTGGCTACAGATACATCAAAAACGTAATTGTAAAGAGGTTCCTCTACGTTTTAAAGTCCTTAGTTGAATCATCTATCGTTTTGCCTGTGGTTTGACAGAGATCCTTAAGTAGTATCATTTTAGGAAATATTTCTGAATGCAAAGTATTTATGATAAAAGAGAAATCTGATTAAAATCATATGTTACATGGCTTCGTTAACTTCGTACTACGCCTGAACATCTGAGTGTGCCGCGGTCAGGGTCACGTTCAGGTGACCTTTCTATTTATAAATACTCATTAAATTTTGACCAATCAGTAACCCTCTTTCAAAAGGGCGCTCGGAGATGTAACAAATATGTCGGACATTGATGAGAATGATGCGAAAGTTCTGAAGTTATTTGAGATTGATCGTCTGAAACCCGAACAGAAAAAAAATCGAAGCTTTATTAGAGAAGAAAGACTATGGTTGTGTTGCCTACGCAATATTACCCAATGGGTACGTTTTCCTTGGCGTCGTAGAAACGTCAGTTCCCGCCGCATATTTGTTTTGGAAAACTAATCTGTTCGATACCCCTCGCTATTTATCTATCAACCATGATATTCCGATTCGCTGGCAAAATTTTGCCAGCGCGCCTCTGATTGGTTCATCTAAAGGTCACTTGAAAGTGACTCTGACCGCGGCACATTCAGATGTTCAGGCGGAGCCATGTAACAGATGATTTTAATCGGTTGGATAAAAGAGCTTTGATTCAATTCATAAGAGTCATTTAAACTTTTTATAACTTAAGTTCCGTGTGGACCTGGCCGTTATTACTCGGAAGATGAGTGTGCCTTGTGTGATTTTGGATTCTACCAGGACGCCACACAACAAACGTCGTGCAAGGCCTGTCCAACAGCTACATCTACGGAGGGCACCGGCTCCATCAGCGCCGCCGAATGCACTGGTTAGTTCTACATATTAATTATGATTGACTAAACATGTACATATACTGAATATACCATAGTAAAAACAAATACCCTCATTTCATCCATATGTTCTGTTTGAATTTATAAGCATTTTACTGCAATCAATATAATGTTATATGCAAACAGATTAGGACATTTGAACGGCTTATATTTTGCTGACGTGCAAAAGTTTTGTTTACTTTTTTCAGTTGTATTGCCTGTTGAGGACTCTGTGATAGACTCATCTGTACTTGCAGGTAAACAAATAGACCGGTTGAATATCTGCTTGATTTGTACTGACCTAAATGTGAAATAGATATGTTAAATGAGTAGTTAAGTGGGGAAGACACCCGAAATAGTGGGTTTTGTCATTTTATAATATGCTCCCTTCTGAACGAAAAATGGTGCAGAATTATACCGTAGTCCTGAAAACCAAACGATGACATACAGGTATTTTGTTTGCTTGCTAAAAACAATATTTCTGATACTTACATAACCACAAGTGTGACTCTGGAAACATCCTCTGTCTACTAGGGGTTTCCTACACGTCCAGTGGTCAGGTAGTGATAATATATGGTAGTACAAAGGATAAACTGTTTCTATATTGATGATATATATTTTGTATTATGCTAACACTTAAGTATTCAATCGTGTTGAGGTAACGGTTTCTACTACACAAGTTATGTTCGTGAAAAATATTAAATTCACAGCTTCATTTTTACTTGTAGTATGTTCTCTAATCAGATACAAATAAAAGATCAAAGAATACTACTTGTTAACACAATGTGTTTAATTTTGCTACTGCGTATTTAATGTTTCTGGATAACAGCATAAGTAAAATATAAGATCGAAATAGACAGCTTTCGAATTCAACCAATGATTAATTTACCCGGTATCTTATTCATTTATTATGTGTTTTTTTTTCAAATTCTCATATTTCTAAAAACTGAAGTTATTTACGTATTGTACAAATTGTATCAATTGAATTCTCTGTTTAATCAACTTAGATAAATATTTCATATTATTTCCAATTGTTATACTACATTGTTGATTTGACTGTACCATTAACATCATATGCGTGGAATGTTTTGTTAGCTAAGCTCACCCGTAGTTATCATCCATAGCGTTCTACAGCTAATATAAGAAGAACGGTCTTTAGAGTAGGACATCAAGCGCAAGTTTACATATTGTCTCGTCTATTTATAAAGACAGAAGTTAATTACATCGCTCTTCTTTCCGATTAACAGTTGGTGTAATTGCTGGAATCGTTGCCGGAGTAGCACTCTTTGTCCTAGCCGTCGCTATATGTACTGCAGTGAGACTGAAGTGAGTATTGTTTTATAGATGATGTGTCGATTGGTTATTTCAAATATATTCAAATTGCTTTGAATAGTTTTGTTGTCGAGTAATGGCATGGTATGCATTTTAAGTTCTGTTGCGTATTTGTAGTATATAAGGACGCTTAATTCTTTAAATCATAACTAATCGGTAGTGAAGCGGACGTTTGACAAATCAATCAATCAGTTTAATCACTCAAGCGTAAACGTCTCTGGTTGCTCTTGATCTCCTCACATGATTTTTTGTTGTTGTAAATAACACAAAATGATAAGTAACAGATAATAACAGTAATGACGTGCGAAACGGAAAACAACGCGCATTTTCATGATGTCACGACTGTCACAAACAATTAAATTTGAAAATAGAGCGCATTGGTCCTGGGTTTTCACATCGGGCTAACTACTGCAAGTGTGAATAGGACGAGGATCTAATGTCACTTTGTACTGAACAAATGATCACAAACTACTTGAAAGTGGCCTTATTAAAAAGGAGCGACGTTTTTACACAAGTCCTATCGTGACATGGCGTCATCGTAACAGTCGCTTTAATTGGGATCCTGCACGCCGTGGGTGTTCCACTAATTAGACATATTTTTAAGGGATCAATTCGAATCAGATTTGTATAATGGCGATGGTAAAACGTCACCCTAAAGACGTCGTTGGAATGAAAGCTTTAGAACTGCTGCAACGTCAAACAGGAATATTGTTTCGCAGTAGTGTTAGGGTCTTGAACAATAGATATATGTATCGGGAACCCTTTCAAAAAGTAATGTCAATGTAGCTTTGTAAATGGAGTGCTTTATGGAGACAAATATTCAGCCAGTTTATAGAACGCAATGAAGTCGGCGTTTTGTTTTTTACAATATAACGCACCAAAGTATACCAGTCGAGTCACCAAAGATTTTCTATAGCAAAATAATGTTAAGATGTCTGATTGGCAATCTGAATCTGAATCTCTCGATATGTCGCCTATGTAACACAGTTGCGATGTTCTTGGACGTCGCATGGCGATGTGAAAATCAGCCATCTTCCTTGCAGGAGTTTGCGGAACCGTTCATCAATAAATAAGACATCTTCTCTCGCAATATCTGTCTTTCGTACACGGTACTAGTTATGTGAAGTACAAAATTAATTCTCATCTTAACTTGTTTGACTTCAAATAAATAAACAATAAATAAATCAAAAAAAAGTTTGTTCGATGAAACCAAGGCGAAATATAAACAAAACAAAGATTGCATGGCGACCTTTAAGAAATACAAGCTAACTAATAAAAACGTGTCCTGGAAAGTTAGCCATCTTGTGATACAAACAAACATTGTCAAACATAACAGAGAGTTCGATTATAAGTTATTGAATAAATCATTTTTTTGTTTACAGAAAATCAAAAAAGAAGATATCGGATTCAACACTGTTTCAACGGCCAAGTGCTCTTCATAAAGGCCTTACGAGAGAATCGACTACTGCAAGGTTATTTATATTCATGACAGTCATATAGTATTTACAATTACATGTATTGAATACATACATGTACCGTAATACATGTTTTAAAGGGAGAATCTGATATCTGCATACTATATATGTAAATACAATATACAATAAAAGAGGTTCATTCATGTATGAACATGTTTTTTCCCATCAAATAGAAGGTTACAAACATTAATTACTCATTAACAATTGTATTTTTTTTAAAGTTGCATGTACCACTTAATCTATTTTCAGTGTAATGAGTATCACAGACATCGACAGTTATTACCCGACCCGTACAGATACTACCGCAAAAACGAGATGGAATTCATCTAGGTATGGTTTGAAATATTTAATTAATCAATATTTACTAGAGTCCTTCCGATGACTGAGTGAACGACAAATATAGATAGGGTCATCCGGTCTTGTTTCTAGTCATCTGAACAGATCACTTATGTGAATGACCTTAATTCCCAACTCAATAGTTATAACTGTGTAAAGCTTAATTAATGAAGAATAAACAACGTTAAATCTTTTCAAGTTTAATTATGTAAGCAGTTTTATAATTTAACTAGGTTATATTATATCCCTATAATTTGTGTATATGCGTTCAATCTATTTCAGTCTGAAAGACGACGACTGCATGTTAGAATACCAATCACCCTTATTTCCCAAGGGTCACTTGATACCACCATTAACAACTGAAGCCCCACATCTGATACATATGACCCCGTTACCTGACAATCAAGCACCGTTTTTTAGTCGGCAACAAACACAGAGGATTGGTTCTATGCCACCGATTACTGGGCAGGTTGATACAAGTATATCGACGATAGACATTTTACCCATTGGAAATTAATATCATCAATGATTTCGGTTTGATAAACTTCGATTAAGTAATGTTTATTGCTTTATTATCAACTTCTCGGTATATAAAAGCAGCTTATCAGTTTTGAGTACACGTTAATCAAATGTTACAAAAAAGCAATGCATTTGTGATTGTTTGCAAAGTAGCTTCAATATAACATATCAACGATTAATAATGTGTTGTTTCTATCATCAAGTTGTTTGTATTAAATAAGTAACTGCAAAAGGCAGTTAACTTAGTTACCAATGCAATTGTTAAATGTTACAAATGCGTATAACATGAAAGAGGACAAAAACAGTTTTTTTTAAGTTTTTAAAGCTGAATCATGCAATCAATGGCAAAGCAGAAAAACACATTTTCGCAAAATCATACAAATCCTTACCATTAACACAAAAAATATATCTTAATACCGAGATTGAACAATATACTATTTTGTGTGTGTTATAACCCGTTCTGTTTTACTGTTTTGATGAGGAATAATTTATCAGACGAAGTTCGTTTTGAAGCGAATATGTGTACACAAGTATCAATAATTCCGTCCGTTTAATTCTTACTCATTTCGTTCAGTTTCAGTACTAAGGCGCTGAACACTGAACGGCACTGGCTCTGCTACGGCCGTTAATATAATTAGACAGTTTGTCGAAAATATATTTTACCATTTTTCTTGAAATATATTTTCACATGTATAATCAAAACCGTAGTTTCAAATCATAATCAGTTTATTATCGGTTTCTCTTTAACCTAGTGTAGAAAAAAATACGTTAAAAAACATGGAATTTTGGAATGTTCCAGGCTATAGTTATCAATTTAACAGACCGGAATGTTAAAACCAAAAAAATTGTGAAAAACATTACGCTAAAACCCGTTGTCTGGTTATTCGTATTGTATAATTTACTTATAACTAATAATTATCGAAGGTCCTTAATTGACACGTAGCGCGTCGCAAAATTGTACAAGTGTTGTTATTTGAGTAAAATATTATTAAAAATGAAATATGTAGGGATTTCTTCCAAATTGTGACTGAATTTTGTCTAAATTCATATATGCGCGGTATGGAACACACCACAAAAAAGATTGTACGCAGAGAATATACAATTACAAATGTATATGAGATACAAGACATAAAACACTTGCTAAATGACACATTTTGGAGGTTTTATACCTATATGTTTTACAAAATATTATTTATATATTTGACAATTGTTATTGTTTTAATTATTGCTCATTAAAGCTTACTTTTATTTGTCACCTTTTTTAAATATCAACTTATCAGATATGTGATTTACATTGACGTCAGGTGTTAAACGATCTTTGACACATGGAGATATATAGGATCTTACATGAGTTTCCATTTCATATGAGATTTATCAAACCAGTCTTAGTATTTTTCAAGGCGAGTTAAAATGAAAACTTTGTGACGAGTTTCATAAATTGCATTTGAAATGAATACGAGTGTAAGCTTTAAGGATGTACAATGTACTCGTTTTGATCTCGTGTAACAAGTTTTTGTAATAATTAAAAAGTTATAATCAATTTTAATAGCAAACACTAAGCTTAAAATAAGTGTCTAAAAACTAGATGCCAATTGTTTAAAGAAATTTGAAAAATTACGAATTTGGCGGCAATCTTTAAAATGTTATTTTTTTGTACTTCACGAAAGACTAAAATTTCGCCTTTTTTTGAAACGGGATTGCTCACTTAAATCGTCAGTATGTCGCCATTTTTTAATGAAGCAATTTAAGTTTGCTGTACAACTTTATAATGTTCAGTATAATAAAAATAATATGTAACAAAGTCGAAAACTACATATTTATACACAAACAACAAAGGCGTGGTTTAAGTTTATACATATATTTTTTAACATGTTAAACGATATTAGGTCATGTATACATTCATCACACTCACTGCTCTGTCATCCTATACAGTACAACTGTAACACTCCCTCTGTCAATCCAAGAAAATATTATTATCATTATATAACATTATAATACATCAACACATACAAAAATATTTAACATTCGGCCTTAAATGGGGGCTGGCATAATTTAAGCTAACGGTAATTCAGCTCACTGGGAATGACATGATATTATATGATATTATGCAATATCTATATACTGTTGCTTTCATGTCCCTGTGGCTGAATTACTAGGAGTATGCATGGGGATTATAGACCGAGTATGTAAAACTGTAGTGTATTGGAGCCGTGAGTCTCGAGAGGTGAGTCACCTCAGAGCCGTGAGTCTCAAGGGAAAACCTATGTGCCACACTCGGTCCGATGAACCCCAACTCCACTTAGATACAACCAGACTGCAGGTCCGACAGCTGTACAGCCCAGCCCAAGAGCCGTGAGTCTCAAGGGTTTCTTCGCCGTGAGTCGTTTAAACAGCCTGATTGTTTAATACAAATGTATACTTTTTGAATAGTTAGTAATATAATACTTGGGGCCAAAGAACGTAACAATAGCCAGTGAAGCCGAAAGGGTTATTGAGTAGTGGATAGCCCTTTAAGACCTGTTATCTATATATCATGCCAGCTCCTAATATTATGCTTGAAGTACAAGTACGTAACTGTTGGAAGAACAATAAATACTAAATAACTTGTTTATATAATACACAATGTATATATCTGAATAAAGACTGGTGGCTGGGGATGGTGTGCGGTTCGATGAAGTTGAGTTGTCTAATGGTGGTACGTCTTTCACCCAGCAAGAACATTTTAAAACTGACTCGGGTGACGCTATGTATGTTAATTGTCTTAATTTCCGCGCGAAATTCCTGCAACTTGATTGGCTAAGATGCTGATGCTGACCAGTGGTCAATGATCTTGGCCT